TCACTGGAGCATTCTGCGCATTCATGCACTTACTGCTTGGACTTGGTTTTTTCTTGAGCGTGATGCGAACATTAACGGGTTCCGGTAATGCTCACATAGACTGGACCTATAATCAGGTCTGCATGTTGTCCTTTCGCCGTAGAACTCCATCAATTATATATAACGTCAAATTCCCTACTACGCCTGATCACCTCCTTATCAAGCCTGCCCACCAGTCGCTTCACGCAGAATGGTTACGCCAGAAGGGAAGCAAGCGAACATTTGGGCTTCTGGTCTTCCTTTCTTCCCCACTCGCTGTAGAGAAGATCTTGGAGCGGTCTAGCAGCGTTCGATGACCAGGCGTCTATCTGAGGATCAATCTCCAGAGGCTCGAAAGCTGGATCGCAGCAGATCAAGGGTAGAGTGGCGAAACAGACTTCCGCTTGGGATCAGTTCAGCCGACCCAAAACTCATGGCGAAGCTGATTGTGGTCATAGCTCCTTAAGCTCCCGAAGGCAAGCCGACGCAACCGGCCGCATCTCCAGACAGCAGTTTTTATTCGACTACCACATACCCCTCGTCCACCAGGGGCAGTGATGCTCTCGAGGAGGCAAACCTCACATACAAGCAGCGCCCAAAGTACGTGAGGCTATCAACGCTTATCTCCATAACAGACGACAAGGGTGCAGTCATGAACTCCTCACCAAAGCCACAACCTCTGAACTCGCCTAAGCCAGATGTGCGGGGACAAGCACAGAAGCCAATCTCCAGCGCCTCTCCGTCAAAAGCGGCCTTCATGCTTGTGGACAAGGTCATCGCCCAGGACTCCGACAACTAACCGGAAACTCCCTCGTACATCTTGTCGGCCACGCTGATTGCCGGCGGATCGAGCGTCTACACAAACACCAAAGAAGAGCGACTTCAGCCAAACAAGCCACATAAGATTCGCCGGATTAGAAAAATGCTGGCTGGCTTCAAGGGGATAAGAAGCATGCTCTTCAGGCCTCGGAGAGCTGATAAACAAATGACGGTGTAATTGCCGTGGATGAAATGGATTAATTCAGTCACTAGGTCTGTATGTCATGTGTTTTGAAACTAGAAACAACGTGATGAATCATTAGACGGAAAGCATTTCTGCGCAGCACGGACGGAAAGAGATGCCTATGAGTGGGCGAGAACCGCCGATATCGGGGTAACTTGAAGAATGCCCCACGGAATTGGCTGCCAAGGTCTCCCTCCCCGTCACATTTATGCCCTTAAGCTTCACAGATGACTTATCCGTCCAATTATTGCCACCAGCTCTATGTAACTGTTTCCGCTTGAGCCCATAATTTAAGGCTCCGTGAAATCCCTCTACATATCCTGGTGATTTACAACAGTACCCTCAAGGGAATTGCTTAAATGATGCCTCCCATATCCCATACGACTTTGTGGCCGGCCCATGTTAGTAACGCGAGGGGCCAACCAATGGTACTCAGAGACTTTTATCCATCGCCTTTTCAATATAAACATCAGCGACCCGACCTTATTTTTCGGGGCAGCTTAAGCAAACAGCATCACGATAAACTTCACTAAAAAGAGAGTATTCAAATGCAGCACTTGAGTTTCCCTGCAGCACTCTGCAACAACTGCACATAAACAGTGAGTCATTAATTGGCAGAAAACCTAGCTCTTCCCAATATCGGTTATCTTTCAAACCATCGGCTATCACACCCATTTGTGTTCCATTATGATCAATAATCAAACTGTGTA